GAGAGAGAGAGAAGGGGGGGGGGGGAATAAATCTGTTGAAAGTTATAGGGCCTTACACTTTATAATTTATAGATAATGCTGCTTGAACTCGTCTCATAGTTTGGGTACTTAATTGAGTGACATGGATCTTAATCTCAATTTTTCGGTCTTATAATCTGTAATGCTTGGAGGGAGTTGTCCAAATTGAACTCACGATAGAATGATTAATTTCTTCATTGAGGGGCTTTGTTCCTAATCTAAGTTTTTTTGGATCTTACATCATGTAATTTATCGGAGTGGGCTGTCTCAATTGAAATCGCCATATAATATAATGTTACTTGTCTTGATTTACAATATTTTCTGGATTCTACTCCCAAAGGGGATAAATTTTTAGGACTAATTTCACTCTGAGGATGCCTAAAATGAGTGTCATAGCTTTAACGATGAAAGATTAGGCAGCCCAACGACTAGTATTACATCCTCTTTGTGCTTCTAAATTCATCCAAGTGCATGGTATATAATGATGTCATGAAGTCTGTATGTTGCATGAAGACTAGTACTACATATGTCTACTATGCATATCAAGGGATATGAATGCCATGATTTATGTTAAGTTATATACCTTAGTGTGAACCTTAGACTACATGTAAACTCACAAGACTTTTATATGATGTGGATAAGCAAGACTTTCTCAATAAGCCACACATCTGTATCCAACATGATAAATGAAATGCTTAATCATCATATCTAGCATATGGCTTCCATAGCTCAGAACCACTATATTGAGATAGATAGGACATACTAATTTATTTTTAAAACTAATTGATCAAGAGATCGGTCATTGTACTTTTCATTATTTTGAATTATTGGGTTGATATATATGGATGGATGGATGGAAATAGTAACCCTTGGAGAAAAGGACACTCAATAAGACAAAATGAAGAAAAATATTTCATGTAGCCGACCCCGCTTAGTGAGACAAAAGATTGTTTTTGTTGTTAGGTTGATATATATGGATGGATGGATGGAAACAATAAAACATATGGTAAAAAGAAGGGTGAGTATTCTATTACGCAACTCTTATGGCCTACTATCTTAAGACTTTTACAAAACTTATGATCATTATATTTATAAAATGTATATCAAAATTCAAATCACTAGAGTTATGAAAAAAACTCATTGTTCGTGAATAGTTCGTGTTTGGTTTGTTAAGTAGCTTGTGTTTGATTCATTCGTTAAACAACCGAACACAAACGAAAGGTATATTTTTTCCAGCTCAAAATAAATAAATAATAATATTTCTTTTTATCTTTTTATATTATTTTTTCTATTGTATTTTAAAAAATGCATATAAGAGATCTGGGTGGTATAAATGTAAAAAATAAAGTTTAGGCTTTAGATATGTAAATACATTGGAATTGGCTCTCATTTATGTAATTGCCCAAAAAAAAAAAATGCAAAGAACCGAGCAGTCTCATGCTCCCATTTTTCTGGTCCCACACTTTATATTTTTCTAGGCGTTAAATATGTAAATACATATAAATTGGCTGCTATGTAAGTGAATGCCCCCTCCCCCCCCC